ATCACAGTGAACTGTCGTAAAAATGTCTGCCATAGACACTCATAACAACAGCAGCGTCTCACTGACACGAAAACACATCGGTGGAACGTTGGTTCAAAACCAAACAAGAAAACCACTTTGTCGAAAGCACACCTGTGTCATCATCGTCAACTTGATCCTATATTTTGCTTGAAAACATTTTAAAAGATTTTGAAACAATGTGCCACAGAACAATTGTTATACCAGAAGATAAGGCCAGTCAGTCCATCAGGCCTGATCCATCATTCAATAAGATCACGGCTGAACAAATCTCCCTTTGCTGCATATCCCTTGATGCTCTTACTCAAGAAAAATCTATCAGTCTCAATGTTGAAAATTTCCATTGGCTCAGCATTTCGCAGACAAGAGTTTTGGATTTCCACCATGTCTGCGAGAAAATGCTTTCTCATTTCACCCCTGCATGGCCTTACCTCCAATTTTAAGACTTCAATGTTTCATTAGCATTTAAATATGTTTAGTTTACATACAGTACAGGGAAAATAGTTTCTCAGCATTTTGCTGCTGCAACTTTAGTATTCATTAGACAGGCTGGGCTGAGGAAATTCTGCCTCAGTCTGTCTATGAAAAATGCTGCATTGTTCTAGCATCACAGTATCAGCTTCGTAAACAACTGCAGCACTTTTTGCTACATTGCCCTTTTCCAAAAATCCTTGCTGGTTTTGACCACTGTTTGAGTGCAGATTTTCTTAATATCAGTTTAAATTTGATCTTTACCAGTCTAACTCTGTGTTCACTAACTCACGCTCTACAGTTACTATCAACCATTGTATGGATGACTCTCTGCTGTTGAGTCAAAAGACACAATGTTTGACAGTGGCTACATGATCACAGTAGTCTCTGGCAAAATGGAATCTCAAAGTGTTGCAAGAAAAAAAACTGTCATTCTTAAGAAATTGCACACTACACAAAAGACACATATAAATTCACAGCAACTTATATTTACAAGTTCTGGGGAAGGGTCATCGGACATAGAACATAGAACATTACAGCGCAGCACAGGCCCTTCGGCCCTCGATGTTGCGCCGACCTGTGAAACCAATCTGAAGCCCATCTAACCTAAACTATTCCATTATCATCCATATGTTTATCCAATGACCATTTAAATGCCCTTAAAGTGGGCGAGTCTACTATTTTTGCAGGCAGGGCATTCCACGCCCTTACTACTCTCTGAGTAAAGAACCCCGAAACAGTAACGCTGTTTTCTTTTTCACAGATGCTACCAGACCTGCTGAGCTTTTCCAGCAACTTTGCTTCTGTTGTTGTATATTTACATAGCATTTTAACAGAACAAATATTATGAGGCACTTCACATAGACATTATAAGGCAAAATTGGACAAAGGGAGATATTAGGAGATATTGCCAAAAAGTTAAGAGATAAGTTTTGAAAAGAGGAAAGGGAACTAGAGTGGCAGAGAGGTTATAGAGAGGGAATGGAAGAGTGTATAGCCTTGACAAGTGAAGAACAACCATCAATTTTGGAGCAATTAACATTAGAAATGTTTAAGAGGTCAGAATCAGATGATCAGATTGGGCGGTGGGGTGGGTGGGGGGTGCGGCGGGGGTAGTGGATTTCAATGTCCACCAGCAAGATTGACTTAGCAGCAGCACTACAGTTTGAGCTGGTCAGGTCCTAAACGATATCATTGCTAGACTGGGTTTGCAGCAGCTGGTGAGGTAACCAATAAGAGGGAAAAACATATTTGACCTCATTCTTATCAATCTGCCAGCTGCAGATGCATCTGTCCATGTCAATATTGGTAGGAGTGACCACCACACAGTCCTGTGGAGACGAAGTCCCGCCTTCACATTGAGAATACCCTCCATCGTGCTGTGTGACACTATGACCGTGCTAAGTAGAACAGACTTTGAACAAATCTATCAACTCAAGTATGGGCATCCATGACAATTTGTAAGCCATCACAGCAACACAATTGTACTCTAGCACAATCTGCAACCTCGTAGCGTGGCAACTCCCCCACTCAACCATTACCACCAAGTCAGGGGATCAACCCTGGTTCAATGGGGAATGCACAAGGGCATGCTAAGAGCAGCACCAGGTATACCTAAAAATGAGGTGCCAACCATGGGGAAGCTACGAAACAGGACTACTCGCATGCCAAACAGCATAAACGTCAAGTGATAGACAACGCTAAGCCATCCCATGACCAACAGATCAGAACAATGCCATCCCACCATCAATGGATCAGATCTAAGCTTGGCAGTCCTGCCAAATCCAGCGGTGAATGGTGGTAGAAAATTAAACAACGCAATGGAGAAGGAGGATCTACGAATATCCCCATCCTCAATGATGGAACACCAGTGTCAGTGAAAAAGATAAAGCTAAAGCACTTGCAGCAAATTCCAACTAGAAGTGCCAAGTGGATGATCCATCTTAGCTGCCTCCATGGTCCCCAGCATTACAGATGCCAGTGTCCAGCCAACTTGATTCACTCCACATGATATCACAAAATGATAGGAGGCAGTGGATACTGTAAAGGTAATGGGGTCTGACAACATTCTGGCATTAGTACTGAAGACTTGTGCAACAGAACCTGCTGCTCCCCGGTCAAGATGTTCCAATACAATTATAATCCTGGTATCTAGCCAACAATGTGGAAAATTCCCCATTACATAACATTACATAACGTAAGAACTAGGAGCAGGAGTAGGCCGTCCGGCCCTTCGAGCCTGCTCCGCCATTCAATAAGATCATGGCTGATCTTTTCGTGGACTCAGATCCACTTACCCGCGTTCTCACCGTATCCCTTAATTCCTTTATTGTTCAAAAAAAATCTACCTTATCTTTAAAAACGTTTACTGAAGTAGTGTCAACTACTTCACTGGGCAAGGAATTCCATAGATTAACAACCCTCTGGGTGAAGAAGTTCCTTCTCAATTCAGTCCTAAATCTGCTCCCTGTAATCTTGAGGCTCTGCCCTCTAGTCCTAGCTTCACCTGCCAGTGGAAACATCCTCTCTACTTCTATCTTATCTATTCCCTTCATAATTTTATATGTTTCTATAGGATCTCCCCTCAATCTTCTGAATTCCAATGAATATAATCCCAATCTACTCAATCTCTCCTCATAAAACACCCCCTCAAACTCCGGAATCAACCTAGTTAAACTCCTTTGCACCCCCTCCAGTGCCAGTACATCCTTTCTCAAGTAAGGAGACCAAAACTGCACACAGTACTCCAGGTGTGGCCTCACCAACACCTTGTACAGCTGCAACATAACCTCTCTGCTTTTAATCTCAATCCCTTTAGCAATGAAGGACAAAATTCCATTTGCCTTCCTAATTACTTGTTGTACCTGCAGACCTACCTTCTGTGATTCATGCACAAGGACACCCAGGTCCCTCTGCATAGCAGCATGCTGCAACTTTTTACCATTCAAGTAATAATCCTTTTTACTATTACTCCTACCAAAATGTATGACTTCACATTTATTTACATTGTATTCCATCTGCCAGACCTTTGCCCACTCACTCAATGTATCTATGTTCCTCTGCAAAGTTTCACAGTCCTCTGCACACTTTGCTCTGCCACTCATCTTAGTGTCATCTGCAAACTTTGACAGCCGACATGTGGTCCCCAACTCCAAATCATCTATATAAATTGTAAATAATTGCGGTCCCAACACCAATCCCTGAGGCACACCACTGGTCACTGGCTGCCAGCTAGAACAGCACTCATTTATCCCCACTCTTTGCTTCCTGTTAGTCAACCAATGCTCTATCCATGCTAATACTTTACCCTTAACCCCATGCATTCTTATCTTATGCAATAGCCTCTTGTGCGGCACCTCGTCGAAGGCCTTTTGGAAATCTAGGTACACCACATCCACTGGGTCCCCATTGTCCACCTTGCTCGTAATGTCTTCATAGAATTCCAAAAGATTTGTCAAGCATGACCATCATTCAGGCTTGGGCTGACAAGTGGCAATATCATTTGCATCACACAAATGCCAGGCAATGACCGTCTCTGGCAAGAGACAATCTAACCATCATCTCTGGACATTCAATAGTCATATCATCATCACTTCAAAATCATTGGGGTTATCATTGACCAGAAACTGAACTGGACTCACCAGGCACACACCTTTGTCACATTTTTGTGTCAACTTTTCCATTACAAATTTCAATGTTTGTTTTTACGATGGGAACTTCCTGTAAAAGCTGCTGTGCTCTCACTGGATTCCCTTTCCATTCTATACAGGTCAGTCTTTTCACTCTAACCTATTCACGTCTCTGCTTCCCATATTGCTGTGAATCTTGTGATTCAGCAATCACCAAATTAATTATAATCAATATTATAATAAATAATATATTGATATAAGCACAGGAATGTCTGTGTGCTTCAGTCCATCCTCTGTCTTTCACCCCCAGTTGGTGATGCCACAAGGCTATGGGCCCAGTGCTGGAAAATTAAATTTAGAATAGTCGGGTTCTTTTTTATGACCAGCATAGACTCGAATGGGCTGAATGGTTTTTTTGTGCGCGTGTGCTGGAGACCTTTATCACTTCTTCCTGTATGCAAAGTAGCAACTCGCTAAGTATTACAGATAAAAAAAAAGTGAAAAGTCACACAACTATTGTTTTTTTTAATCTTCCCTCTATGATCTCTTGAGATATCGTACAGGAGATCCAAAAAATTACTTGAAAGTCCTTAATTTCTATGATGGTCAGTTTTATTAGAACAGTTAGTAACTTAAAAGGCACATTGAAACACATGTGATCTTCTTTCCTGGACAACAAGTCAGTTGACGCATTATTGGCGCATTTTTTTCATGACTCACTGGAGTTTAATGCCTCTTTGTTTTGATCTGTGCAATAATATTACATCTGACACCATGTGGCATTTAAATAACATCCGGTCCCGTTTTTATTTGTCCATCTCTGCAGAGACCTTTAAAGAAAATGATCAATTAGTTTCAGCTTAGAACTGACAGTAAACAAACCTGTTGTTGGTTCCCTGCTGTTGCGACGGGATAATTGTTATTCGATTTCAACGCTGGGTGAGGTCTCATTTCACAGTGTTTGAACTATCTTGGCAAGACAAAGTTAAGAACAGCGACCACAGCGCAACTTGTCAACAGACCTGACAATGGCGCTGTAATTAACATTTTGTCAATGTAAAAATGCAACGTATGTCCGGCTCCCTTTAAGGAAAGTGCTAGGGGCTTTCAGCCGCAGCACTTTATATAAAAAAAAACGACGGCGAACACTTTAAGAAAAATACATAAACTTCCTCCATGGTGACATGCTCAGAACGCGAGCATAACAGCGTTGGAAGGGATTGGGTCCATTTGCTTGAATGATTTCGCTGGCCCTGGTGAAAACGAAACGTTGCAATGTAGAGATAGTTTTATTTTTGCAGCCGGGTTAGGAAGATGGGGCTGCAAATCTCTTAAACACGCGGCTCCTTCCCACCCCGCAAGTTTCCATCCAGGCCTCACTATGTCACATGATGATGGACATGATATAATCTAGTTACGAAACACAACAGCAGTGGGATAGAAACACGTTGAAGCGACGCAATCTACTGCAAACAGTCCAGATGAAAAGCTGGAAGTCTCAGTTACTTTAATAGTAGGTTTATGCAGCAGCAGGTCTACCTTCTCCTTCTTGTTTATCTTCACTTTTACAGTCTATGTGTGTGGGATGGATGTTTCCCAAACTCCTCAGCAGCAACACTTCACCTGATGTCAGTATCCGTTTCCAAAAGAGAACCCGCCACCAAATATGGCTTGAGAAGAATGAGGTTTTTTTTTAAAAAAGAAACAATCAAAACTTGCATTTGCGGGGGTTGAGAATTCTCGCAGAACCTGATTCCTCGAAACGTAAGTCATTCCAGCTTTCCTAGAAACTAAATAGCGGTTTTAAACCTTGCCTTTAAAAACTAAATGCCAATAAAATGTATCCTGATTGGGCATAAGGTAGGGGAGGTGTTGCAATTTTTAAAATGCCGGGTCATTTCTTTTGACACAGCACCATAATGAAGGGCAGCATGATGTGAATTAATTACAACTTTTTCCTTGCATCTTCCTGTACAGTTCTTATAATGGGGAGGCAGGGAGTCTGTTTAAAATCTCTATTCTTTTGCTTCTGTGTTGTTTAAAAATTGGTTAATTGCCACATGGATTGCTGCTAATGTGCGCGTGTGTGTTATATATTTCACGTCCGCATTCCAACTAATGTTGCGCAGATAAAATTCAGACTGGGGGTAAACATGGGTGCTGACGCTGTGTTGACATAGTCGAATATCAAAACACAGTGCAACTCCCCACTGTTATATTCTGTTTTGTTTGTTTCAACGCTGCGCTTATGCATTCGTTTAAGAAGCGAGAAGTTTGTTACTAAGTTGCATTAAATATATATTCTTCCTCCACCCTTTCTTTCTCTCTCTCTCTCTTTCTGACATCCCGAGAACAGGATGTAAACAAATTAGAAAAACGTCACGCTGGTCAGGCAAGGTACATGGAGCAGCACCTGACGCGCGCTGGAGGGCGGCGGGAGCGCGCGTTGCGGGGCCGCGCATGTGACGATGTTTAAATTATGTTAGCCAAGCTCCGCTGCAAAAATGCAGCTTTCTTTTGCTTCCCGTTTTATTTTGTTCGAAGCCAACGCAACGCCCACTTGTATATCAGCGTGTGTAAACATGCAGCAGCTGATGTGAGGAATGAAGTGAGTTGGGGGGGGGGAGAGAGAAGAGGTCGGCGGGGGCGCGCTTGCGAATGATGCGCAACTTGCACCTCAGGCGCGTCCCCTGTGTTTTTAATAAAAAAACTCCGGGCGGGCACGCGCACAGTGGGATGCTGCGCCTGCGAGAGCTCCCTGTTTTGCAGGAAGGAGACTGACTTATGCCTACACACTGGGAATTTCTGATCTTCTCCCCTCTAGTACATTGCACTGCAATTTATCCGCACAGTAACCAACAACTTGAGCTGTCCCAGCCCCCTTGATCAGCTCCTGACGGATGTGACTTGTGCTTCCAGCTCTTGTGTGACGCAGCAACGTATTAGTACTTGTCTTTTAGTCCATCCTATTGCGTTTCTTTCCACCCCCATTTCTTCTTTGGGAAGTCCACTTCAGTAAAAGACCAGCCTGAGGTCAAGGAATACAACCCAAGCACAGGTTAGGCAATTTACATTCAAATATGCGAACAAGTTGCTTTTACAAACTGTATGCACGCTGCACTGCTGTCAATGTTGCACTGATGTTTTGGAACTTAGTTTTTAATGTTGCAACATGTAGCAGCTGTTAACTTGACTTTGTAAAGGGGCTGTTTTATTCCTCTACGTCTCCCTGCTATTGGATGTGTATTTCAAAAGAAAGGTATGTTCCATGCCCCTTTAATCCTCCGTGGGTTTCTCCTTACCTTTTGTAAAACCTTTAACGGTCCCCAGTATTCCCAAAAGCACTTGCTCGTGGGATTTGTTTACAACTAGACTCGCACCCGAGGGTAGGGAATGGGGGCGCGCCGGTGATGCGCGTCCACGACTGTTCCCTTGCCTTGAATATGGAACTACAAGGCAGTCAGATGTGATCAAATGTGTGTTCTTTTGCACACTGCAAGTTTGTCATTGCTCAGAACCCCTTCCCTGGGCGGGGGAAAAGAGTGCTTTCTAGTTAGTTGCCCCTTTTTTTCCTGGGGGTGGATAGCGGTAATTTTGTTTATTCACTCATCCTCACTGTTTCCCGTTAGGTTCCTGGGGTGTTCTCGACATTTCTTGAGTGAGCTCACGGGGGAATGAGAGACAAGGGCGGTACCTGGGGATTTCCAGTGAAATGACCTAACTTCCCAGAGCGAGAGCCTGAATCAATCCAGAACAGGAGACCGGGGGCGATTGAATGGGTCAGCAAAACACCAAGAATTAAACCCACTTAGAAATGGGCTGTTACGTGTTGTGACAATGATGACTGGGTTTCTTTATCGGAGGGGTGGGGGGTGGTGTGGATTTCACTATTTTCAGCTGCGTGTGAGTTATGACTCGAAAGTGTGTGTGTGTGTGTGTGTGTGTGTTTGGTTACTTTCTGCGGCTATATGCATCGGTCTGCGGAACAAACTGTGAGATTTCAGTGGCTCTGTCCAGGGCAATTGACGTTTCACTTCAGCTATATGTCTGTCTCTAAAGGATGAAGATATGCCCGTTCCATAAGGCGAGCCATCTAATGTAAGCTATCACTCCAGGGTCCAGGCTAGTGCATAGCAATAACGGGGGGGGCGGGGGGAACCTGACGGGCTTTTAGCGGCGCGACCCGTGGATCTGCCTCTTCCGCAGAAAATATCCCAATTCTAAACTGCGTAGCGAGGTGTAAGGAGAGGAGGCCACTATGCAGAATGTGAGTTCATGTTATGTTAATGCGTATGTAAGCAGTTAGCAACATCGCTTGTTTTATTTTTAAATAAATTTTAGATCATTTTAATAAGATACATTAAGTTAACTAGAAGAGTATTATTAGCAATCCATTATTAACTGAGTTTTTTTAACTGACTTGCTTTCTTCCTAGATCTCAATCTAAATTCCTTTACTTTTAAAGACCGCCTCTTCAGCCAGCTCAATTAACAGCAGTAAATTAGTGATTTGCTTTTATGAGCATTATATTTTAGAAAAAATCTTAATTGTTTGTTGAAGATGCAACTTCTTTGCAAGTAGCTTAGATTTTGGGTCATAGTGTCAACTGAAAATACTACCTTCGAAACAAATTAAAGCATGACTGCCCACATTTGGATCATTTCGTTATCTTGTTGATCAGTTTGGTTTCTGTCCCATCACACTACGTGCTGCTTTCTGTTCAATTCTGTGCTGCGTCACATCACTGAATAATTTTTTTTGTCGTTGCATGTAGAGATGAGGAGAGGGAATAAATAAACCTGCATGGGTCCGAAAGTCTGAGATTGAATAGTGTTTGCGATCAGTAGATCTGTCAGCCTGGAGAGAAGGGATAACTTTCTGCGTCACAACTTGATCCAAATAAAAGGTCACACCCAAAATTTTCATCCTGTGCCCTGCCTTCTCTTGATTTGAGCTGCTGAGCACCCCTTCATATTTGCCCGTATGTGTTTTCGGCATCGAGCATTCTTGGTCTCGTTTTACATCTTAGAATGTTATGAACGTAAGAGAAACGGAGGTGCAAGACAACATAGGAATTCGTATCCAGAGATGAGATGAAACTGCATTTATTTTTCTGGGTGGGGTAGTGGGGTGATATGGTGGTGGTCCCATTAAGTCTTCCAGGGATATATGACGAGATTGGGTAAGTGAATGCCTAACAGCAAGAGTTCTGAGTTTTTTTTAAAAAATGAAGGATGCATCCGAGAGAATGACCTGAATCTGATTGCAACAGTTGAGGTGAGTCCATGGATAAACTTGCAAGTGATAATTAGTAACTGATGCAAGGAAAACCAGTTGGGGATTGGAACTGTGTTGGAAATTGTCATGAAGGGAATGGCTTAGCAAATAAAATATTGGTGACTGACATATTTTGCAGTGATATCAATCTGTACCAGTTTGTGCTTCAGCAGCGTTGTTTTTTAGTTAGGATGGAGCTGGGTCATCCTGCAGAAGTGGGTAGCGTCAGATTTGGAACCGCTATCCAGAGTTAAACAGTTCGATATGGTCTGACTCATCCTCTGGAGCTGAGAGTTGGAGCCTCAGTGCAGTGGTTTCGCTGGGGGCTGAGCAGGGGGCAGTTTGGATCTTGCTCAGAATTGTGTTGGAAATGGCTGTCCTGAATGCACACTGGCAAATCATGGATTTCACTGGTGTTGCACAAGCTGGAAGGGAGTACTATTCGTGCCTACGTGGAGGCTGGTTCCCAACTATTTACTGACACATTGACAGAAGAGCACATCAAGGAGCCTTGTATCAGTCTGAGTTTATTGGGTAGAAGGAGATATAACTTGAAGGAAACCAGTGGGATTTGTTGGTAAATTTGCCGTGGATCCAGATAGAGTTGCGCTGAGCTGAACCAACAACCTGCAATGCAGTTGTCCCTTTTTAATGTGGAGAAACATTCCAAACCATTTCCCAGAAATACAATCTGACAACATTTGACATGAAGCTAATTGAGCTGTTGGGCAAGAGACCCACCAGTTGACCAAAAAGAAGTTGTAAGTCGCATTTTGTTTTTCAGAGGGTGGATCGGGAAGAAGAGGGAAAGTGAGAGATCGCAGGACGGAATTCCTTTGATGCCAGAACAGCTGGCAGTGGATAAGGTGATGTAAGGTGCAAAATTTTCAAGTAACATATAGCTCTAGTTGAAAAGGGTTTTGATAACCTTTTTTGACTGCTGCTGTCGTGGTGGCATGGGAAATGATGGTTAGAAACCAAATTAGGCTGAGCAGTAACAATCACTTTGGTGCCGGGTCTTGACCTTCTGTGGGAGGCTTGGTGATTTTTGGATTTAATGTAACAATTTCTGAGGATGCAAGTTAGAATTAGTTCCCCTAGATGAGGTGATGGCAGTTTTTTTTTTTCTGGCTGGGCTCCATGAATTAAATCTGCTAGAATAACAGTGTGCAACTAACTAAAGCTGACGTCTTTTTCATTTTGCTTTGGATTGTTGATGGGGCAGGAAACGCTGACAAAAATGCCCGGCATTCCACAGCACTTGCTCCACTATCTCTGGTTTCAAGGTTCACGTTTTAGTTTAGGATTGTTCATCTAAAAGCAGCAATTTATCATAATGTTTTTATTAGCCTTTATTCGTGGTTTTTGGAATGATGGCCGCTATCATAAATTCTCTTTAATTACAACTGGGTTCACTCCTAGTAGCTGGACGATACACAGGGTTGTCGTTGTTGGCATTTTGGATCTGAGTTTACTGGTGGTTCAGATCGAAGGGGTGAAGGTTGAGATAAAGAACAGAACGTTCAATGACAGGCTCATGCCAGTTTTCCCCATTCATTTCAATCCTTCTCGGGCTAACGAGAGAAATGAGCATTATTTGGAAGTTGAACAGTCTTGTTTAGAGGTAACCTGACGGTGATATGGAAAATACTGTTCGGAGAGCACTCTGACGTATGTTGCTGGCCACAGATGGAGAGTCTAGTTCTGCCTGCCATTTATTTTTTTAGTTATGTGTCATCAAGGTTTCATGGTGTCGGTAGGCATCAGACATGAATAACTGTTCCATTCTCTAGCCTCTGTGGAGTTCACTTTCTTTGCTTATGGTGACAAGTCATGTTTTTGTCCTTGTGCCAAAACCAGGGAAGAGAGATCCAGTTTCCTGAGTTTGCTTCATTTCAATTTTGAATGCTGCAACTGTATTATATTTCGTTAGCTCTTCTAAAGAAAACCATGACACTAATGCACTTTTTGACGCAGTTCCTGATCTTGAGCACCTCCCTGCTTTTGGCATCTAGTGGTAAACAGCCATCTGCCTGCCCTTCACAACTGCATTTGGCTGTAACCATGTTGGCTGGACCCAGATGGAAGATT